CTTTCAAAAACTTTTTATTATTGAAAATTTCAAATGTTCATGTAAAGAGAGAAAAATATAAGGGATCTTATGTTCTCATCACCTAACTTCATCAATTATCAATTTAGCAATTTTTCATCTGTATTTCTCCTCTACTGCACCCCTACCCTCACTGGTGACATTGAAACAGTTCCTAGATATTTTATAATTTCACGTGAAATAGTTTATTATGTATTCCTAAAAGATAGGGGTTTTTTAATAAATGTAATCATAATACTATTTACCATACCTAAAAAATAACTATTTATTAATATCATCAAATATCAAATTGGTGTTCTGATTTTTCCTTTTTCCTCCCCATTGCCTTATGTGAACCCAGAGCTAACAAGATCCAAAAATTCTATTTGGTTAGTATGTCTTTTCATCTTTTAATCTAGAAGTTACCTCCCACCTTTCCTCCTTTTACAAAACCCTGGCAGTTTATTTCTTGAAGAAACTAGCTTTATTTATTTATTTATTTATTTTTTGCTGTCGGCATCTCATGTTATTTTTGCATGTTCATCCAGATCCCATATTTCTTAAAACTAAAGCCTTGATGTGATTTAGGATTAATTTTAGTCAAGAATATATCATGGCTGGTGTGTCCCTTCCATCAGGAGATGCATAATGTCCACTTGTCTTTCTTGATGTTATTTGACGACTATTTCCTAGGACCACTGTTTAATTGGGAGTTAAGAAATGGTGACAGTTGCCCAGCCCGTGTGGCTCAGTGGTTGAGCATCAACCCATGAACCAGGAGGTTACAGTTCTGTTCCCAGTCAGGGCACTGTTTGGGTTGTGTGCTCAGTCCCCAGCAGGACATGCAGAAGGCAGCCAGTCAATTGATATTTCTATCTCTTGCTCCCTTTCCCTTCCTCTCTGAAATAAATAAATAAATAAATAAACAAACAAATAAATAAATAATGATAGTCTGATTTTGTTATTCCTTTATTCCTTTATTCCTTCTTCACTTTGTTGGACTATTTCTATAAAGGGCCAAGTTTGAAATTTAAAGCTTTTTTTTTTTTTTTTTTTTTTTTTTTTTTTTTTGTGGTTTTCCAGAATGGCTTCCTTCGGATGGAAGAGGAAAATTGGTGAGAAAGTCTCAAAGGTCACTTCCCAGCAGTTTGAGGCTGAAGCCGCCGATGAAAAGGATGCAGCTGAGAGTGAAGAAGGGAATGGGCTTCACGCCACCAAACGCAGGAAAGAAAGTCTCCTGGAAGGCTGTGCCAGGAGAAGCAAGCAGCTGAAGGATGAGGGAGCCAGCCTGGCCGAAAATAAAAGGTGTGTTTTTGTGGTTTTCCTTTACAGAACATGTACATTTTCTGACTTGCTGTCAGCAGTGGGATGAAGAGTTATGAATTCTATGTTTAATATTTTAAAATCTGATCTAGGCGCTAAATTAAAGTAATAGGTTTTAAAGTCACCTTGAAACATTCCCATGGTATCTGAAAGTTTGTAAAAAGTCTTTAAGATTCTTAGAACGTCTCTGCTCTGCCAGCCTTTCTGTTCTGTCTACAGTAGGGAAAGGCACCGGTCATTGGGGCTCAGTGCATGGGCGCTGACTTGTGAACCAATAGGTCACGGTTCGATCCCAGGCACATTCCTGGTTAGGGGGTGTACAGGAGGCAGCTGATTGATGATTCTCTCTCTCTCCTTCTCTTTTCTCAGAAATCAATAAAGATGTATTTAAATATATAGATTTAAAAAAATAGAGTAAAAGCTCAGTAAAATGTAATCCAACTTACTGGTTGGTAGCAGATGGTGTAATGTTCTCTTTTTGATATTGTGGGCCAGATAAATTAGATGCTTTCCTGAATAGCTTTGAGGGTGTGTGTGTGTGTGTGTGTGTGTGTACATATATACACACACACATACGTGTATATATATATGTTATTGGTGTTCAGTTATTTTTTTCCCATTGACTTCTTATAAACTTTAGTAAATATGGAGTTTGATAATAATTTCTTTATTCTTAGCCCTTTCTCAGCTAAATTCTTTTTTTTTAAAATATATTTTATTGATTTTTTTTTTTTGCCCCCCTCCTTCCCTCCCACACATCCCCTCCTTCCCCAGAGTTTTGTGTCCATTGGTTGAACTTATATGCATGTATAAAAGTCCTTCGGTTGATTTATTATCTCTCCCAGATCTTCCTCCCCTCCCTGCTGTAAATTCTTATTCTTTCCTTATATGCATCCTTTTTTTCTTTCCCCTTTGCTGTTTTTCCTACTTTTCTTATTCCTTTTCCCCTTCTTCTGCTTAGCTCTTTCAGTGGAACCAAAAATCTTTCTTCCACAGATCAGTGGAGAAAGGACATTGTTTAATAGCTTGTGTAGAGAAAGTTGGAACTGTGTATAGAGGAAAAGGAACTGTATCTTATACCACATACAGAATGAACTCCAGAGAAATAAAAAATCTCAATGTGAATAAAATGAAATATACAGAGGTATTTCTATAACCTAGAAGTGCAGAAGAATTTTTCTTATTTTTAAAAATTTCAAGTCTATCTTAAAGTTGAAAGAATAGTTGATTCCCCCATATTCCTCTGACTAGACTCAAAATTTTTTAATTTAATTAAAAATATATTTTTATTGATTTCAGAGAGGAAGGGAGAGGGAGAGAGATAGAAACATCACTAATGAGAGAGAATCATTGATCTGCTGCTTCTCGCATGCCCCATACTGGGGATTGAGCCAGCAAACCTAGCATGTGCCTGGGAATTGAACCGTGACCTTCTGGTTCATAGATCGACACTCAATCACTGAGCCACACTGGCCTGGCTTAATTTTTAAGCTACATTTTACATTCAGTATTCTTTAAAAAAATATATTTTATTGAGTTTTTAGGGAGGAAGAGAGAGGGATAGAAAGCTAGAAACATCGATGAGAGAGAAACATCTCACCGATGGCTTCTTCTAACAAGACAGTGCGCCATGCCATCGATGAGAGAGAAACATCCCCACTGGGGATGTGCCGGCAACCACGGTACATGTCCTTGACCAGAATCAAACCTGGGACCTTTTAGTCCACAGGCCAATGCTCTATCCACTGAGCCAAACCGGTTTCGGCAGCATTCAGTATTTTTAAAATTAGTTTCAGATGCATAGCATAGTGGTTAGACAGTCATATACACTGAGTGGCCAGATTATTATGACCACCTGATGTTTGTAGGCAAATTAGCCGTTCACTGCATCGTATGGAATGTGGAAGCCGAAGGCCTGTTCGAACACCTTTGCTGTGTGCAGTCACCAAGATAAAACATCTCCAGTTTGCACAGAAACACAAGGATTGGACAGTCGAGTATTGGAAAAAAGCCATGTGGGTCCGATGAATCACGTTTCCAGATGCATCATGCAGATGGCAGAGTGAGAATTTTGCGGAAACAGCATTAAAGCATGCCCCCCACATGCATGAGTACAACCCTTCAAGCTGGTGGGGGCAGTGTTAGGGTTTAAGGCATGTTTTCCTGGCGTGATTTGGGCCCTTTAATTCATGTGGAACAACATCTGAATAGCACTACATACCTAAGTATTGTTGCTGATCAAGTTTATCCTATCATGTTGAATGGCATATCCCAATGGAAGTAGCTTCTTCTAACAAGGCAATGCGCCATGCCACGGTGCTCGTATTGTGCAGGAGTGGTTTCAAGAACATGAGGGAGACTTTACCTTGCTTAGGTGGCCCCCACAATCAGCAGATCTCAATCCAGTTGAGCATCTGTGGGACGAAGTTAATAGAGCCATCAGGCAGCTGGTTCTATAATCATCAAATCTCACAGAACTGGACAGTGCTGTTCATCAGGCATGGTGTCAGATTCCTCACAACACCTTTCAACTCTTCATGGAGTCAATGCCAAGAAGAATCACCGCAGTATTGAAGGCCCAAGAAATATTGATGGGGTGATCATACTCAGTGTACTTTATAAAGTGATCACTCCAATATTTCAAATACCCACCTTGCACCATACATAGTCATTACAGTACTAAAGCCCAGTGCATGACATTTGTGCACTTGTGGTGGTGTGGTTGGAGGGTGAGGTCTCAGCCTGGCCTGCACCCTCTCCCAGTCCTGGAGCCCTTGGGGGATGTCCAATTGATGGCTTAGCCTGCTTCTCCCAGAGAGTGGGCCTAAGCCAGCAGTCAGGCATTATTAGCACTGCTGTGGATGTCTGATTGGCTGAGCAGCACTCCTATCAGGGGACAGCTTTTGCATTGAGCATCTGCCCCCTGGTGGTTATTGCATGTCATAGTGACTGGTTGTTTTGCCTTCAGGCCTAAACCGGCTCTCCTACATCCCCTAGATTGTGAGATGGCACAGGCCAGGTCGAGGGACCCCACTGGTACACGATTTGGGGCCGGGGAGGGATACAGAAGGTTTGCCAGCCGGGGAAGGACTGTGGGAGGGCTCCAGGGCATGTCCGGCCTGTCTCTCTTAGTCCAGATTGCCTGGACCCTAGCAGCAAGGTAACCTTGGTTGGAGTGTCTGCCCCTGATGGTCAGTGCATGTCATAGCAACTAGTCGACCGGTCAAATATCTACCCCCCATGTGGTCAGTGCACATCATAGCAAGCGGTTGAGTGGCCTTAGCATATCCTTAGCTTATTACTCTTTGATTGGTTGAACCCGTGACTAGATGACTGGACACAGCCTATTAGGCTTTTATTATATAGGATTATTGGCTATATTTTCTATGTTGTACTTTACATTAGATTAAAAAATCCTTAATAATTGGTTTATTTATCTTCCTACACATATATACACACTTAACTGTTTATTAGAATTTTTTTGCTGATTTATTTGAAAGTAAGTTGTAGGCATTATGACCCCTGGTTCCTAATTCAGCATGCTTCTCCTAAGAGTAAGGATGGTCTTTTACCAAGCTTAAGAGCTGTCAGACCTATGAAATTGAACTGTAATCTGATATCTAGTCCACATTTAGGTTTCTCCAACTTTCATCTACGTGTCTTTAAAGAATTTTTTAAAAAAATTAGGATCTAAAAAAAGTCCACAGCTTGCATTTGGTATTGTATCTCTTTAGTGTCTTCTTGGGTCCCCTATTTTTATCCCCATATGACATTGACATTTTGAAGAATCCAGACCAGTTTTCGATTTGATTGTTTCCTTACCTTGTTCCTCTGTTCCATGTGTTTCTTGTAAACTGAAAGTTGTGTTGAGGTTTGATTTAGATTCTGATTAAACATTTTGGGTAAGAAAACTTCATATAATGTTTATGCTTTCCACTGCCTCATCTTGGGATATAGATGACATCAGGTTATCACTAGTGCAGCCACTGAAAGACATTGTGCCTATGTCAGTCTTATGCTGGGTGTAATATTTGCTGAAAGCAGTATTTTTATAAAAATCTTGAAACATTTGGCGAAGGAAATAATACTAGCAAAAGTACACTTGGCATCATGAGGACTGTTGATTTATTTGCCCTAAAGATATGATTTTTTTGAAGACATATGTGTGATGAGCAGGAATAGTCTCAGAGTAGGTTTTTGGTAGGACAGAATACTCTAGATCATCCAGAGATCTAAAACTAGGCCTCAAAAAAATAAATAAATAAAATAAAACTAGACCTCGTGCTTGTGACTGGTATCTGCTATGTGGTAATGAAGAGTTTGAGAAATTAAAAGCAGTAGTGCTGACCAAGTACTATGTCTTTTCTTTGTTTTTCTGTTCTTTTTTGTTTTTTCCTAATTGGTAAGGGTGGTTAGAAGATTTGTTAATCATTTTTGTCATAAATGAGTCAAAGTTCAAAAAGCAAACAGTTTAATTTCTAGGTTTGTTATTATTTTTCGTTCTGGGTGTAATCTTTATATACATATATATATATATATATATATATATATATATATATATATATATATATATATATATTTTATTTCAGAGAAGAAGGGAGAGGGAGAGAGAGAGAAACATCAGTGATGAGAGAGAACCATTGATTGGCTGCCTCCTACATGCCCCCTACTGGAAATGAAGCCCTAAACCCTGGGCATGTGCCCTTGCCTGAACCGGAGGTCCTTCAGTCTGCAGGCTGAGGCTCTATCCACTGAGCCAAACTGGCTAGGGCTGGGTGTAATCTTTTATTAATATACTAGAGGCCCGATGCACGAAATTCCTATTTTAGGCACAAAGGTTTTTTGTCTTTTATAACTTGGTGAGATTGATCATTCTATTCTTAGTCAGAAGAATAAATTTCCCTTATTTATGGAATCACTTTCAGAACATCCATAAAACATCTTTAGAAATTCCTGTAAATGCCTGTTAAAAGTTCATTAACTTTGTTGTTTTTGTCTTTTTTTCTGGACTACATTAGTGTGTGGAAGGGAAAAACTATTCAGTTATTGCCATGGGATTCCCTCTGAATTTCCTGTGTAGAGGAGAGAGATCAACTTTGTCGATAAACAAAATAACTCTTGTTTTTTTGCTTGCATGTCAAAACATTGAGTCATTTCATTAAAATCAGCTGGATTGGATGCTCTGTGTGATTGAAGGACGCTGAGATCAGTAAGTTTCTTTTGCTCATAAAGCTTGTGTTTTAGAATAGTGTACACAGAGCTTTAGGAAATAACTAAACAGAATTAGAGGCATCTAGGGGAATCAAGTATTTTGGTGACTCTATGCCAAAAAATATGTAGAAATAGTAGTTGACCATATCTAAGAGAATATTAAACTTGGTTGAAAATAAAATAAGCAGAAATAATGAAGTTACATTTAAATAAAGCTCAGCCCCTGCTAGTACTTGCATATGGACTTTGAAGTTATTTTACCTCTGTTCAGATCCTAGCTTTATCGTTCTGTCTGCACAAACTTGGCTGGTTATTAGCTTTTTAAGTTCCGGTCTCCAGTTTCCTCAGCTGTACAATGGAGAGATTTATCTCATAGCCCCTGGGGGATTAAAGAGCAAGTACATGTAAAAGCTGAGCATGCCACCTGGCACCTAGAAACCCGCAGCACCTGTACTTCAGATACTCTCTCTCCTCGGATGTTCTGCATGATCGGTGCACTCATGTAGTGTTAATGTGTTTGTAAGATGTTTGTTCAGACTTTTTTTTTCTCCTAGAATTATTATTAACTAGGATATGTACCTTCTCAGTAGTCACAGGGTGAGACTTAATTTCAGTATTTTGGCTTTTATGGTTTCAGCCACTAGATGGTGATATTTGATTGTGTAGCTACGTAGTCTATTTTTTTTTTTTCTTTGAGAATGAATGTGTTCGTGTGTGAAGCAGGAATTTAATTAGAATTTACCATGAATTTGTCTCTTGTCTAAAAGAGTATACCCATCAGAGTGAACTTGAAGGTGATTTGGCCATTTAACACACATGGTCTTGAGTGTCAGCATGACCATATTAACTAACAGTGATCTTCATTTTGATGTCATTTGTTTCTCTCTTTTGGCTCCCTCTCACTGGTATACAAGTGAGATAGCATACATTTAAAAGCTGTGGCTGGTTTTCTCAGTGCTTAGAGCACAACCTCCCCACCCCGACACCTGCCCAGACTGAAGGGTCTTGGGTTCGATTCTGGTCAAGGGCACTGGTGCTGGTTAGGGCATGTGTGGGAGGCAACTTGTTGATGTGTCATTCTCACGTTGATGTTTCTCTCTATCTCCCTCATCCCTCCCTTCCCCTCTCTCTAAAGATCAATGGAAAGAAATATCTTTGGGTAAGGATTAAAAAAAAAAAAAAAAGCTTCCCTTGACTCACATGCCCTAAAATTTCTCTGCTTTCCTTCACCACAAACTCCATTGCTTGATGGATGATTCTCTCAGTCCATTCCAGCCAGGTTTCTGTCCCCACTAATCCCCCTCTTAGAAAGATTATCTGTTTTCATTTACTGTGCCCGCACAGCTGACCCCTCCCTTCCTAAACACACTGCTCCCTAATCTACCCCACTGTCGTGCCTGTCCTTGTTTCAGTGTCCACTCCTTCATTTTCTTTTGCTCATTTTCTAACTGTTGGTGGGCCACAGTATTTAGAAAGTGCTCCTTGTCCTTTCCAAATACAGTATTTGACTTCTTAAACTTCCATGGCCTCTTGCTTTCAGCACCATCTTGAGACCGATGCTGACAAGCACCAGTCTTCCCACCCGAGTCCTGGACTTTCTAATATTCGATGCTTATACCCACTCGGATGTCTCCTTAGTGTCTCAAACATAACATGTACAGAGCAGAACTCTTGGTTTTTCTCCCAAACATCTGCTCCTTTCTAGTCTTCGCTATGTCAGTGAAATGCCCCACCTTCTGCCTAGTAATTTAAGCCCAAACGCCAGGAGTCAACTCTGCTGGCTTCTGTGCTGACCAGAGCTCACCTTCCCCAGTGCCCCAAGCTCCCTGCCTTTGTGAGCTGAAGGCCCTGGCAGCTGCTGTCCTCACAGACCAAAGGCCCCATGTGTGGTGCTGACAGTGAAAGACCTTGACAGTGGCCCTACTGGACCTGAGGTCCTCTGAGGGACTGATGGCACAGCAAGAGTAAGTGGGTTAAAGGTTGTGGGGAAGACTTCGGTGATGGGAGACAGGCAAAGCTTTTTCCTCCTCCCGCCACTGGACTGCTTCCAAACACACGTTTCGTACAGTCTCTCTGAAAGGTCTACAAGAAAAGCAATCATCGCGGTTGGTTTTTGAAGCTGTTGCCAGCTTAACATGCACCTTGTATTTATTCTCCCGCCTCCTACCTCACTTCTCTTTTTCTCCCTCACTCTGGCTTCCCTGGGATCCTGCTCCCACAAAGAGTTAGTTACGTTAGGCCTCAGACTCTCTTTCCCAGGCAACCCAAACTAAGATACCATCCTGGATTCCTTTCCTTTTTCTTTTTTTTCACTTCTAAATCCAATCCACTTTGAGTTGACTTAACACAGCCTAATCTTCTCCTCTGTTTTCACCTTGTCTAGTCTGCAGATACCTCTTACCTAGATGACTCCGTGTAGCCTCCTAACTGTCTTTGGTCCTCATTCTCACACCCCCACAGTCCATTCTCCCTGGAGGCTCCCATCACACATACAGTGAAATCCGTCATTTTCTTTTGCTCATTTCATTTCGCCTGCCGGTCCCTGAGTGGTTGTGGCTGTGGCGGCCTTTCACTCTCCTTCCTCCTGCTCTAGCCATGCTGGTCTTCTTCCCTTCCCTCAGGATACAGGTGTGTAGTCCTGCCTTGGGCTCTTTGTGCCCTTTGTCTGGAATGAACTTGCTGCAGGTCTTCAGTTGGCTGAGGACTTTTTAACATTCAGATCTTGGCTCAGATGTTTTCCTAGAGACCTTCCCTGAACCTGCATTCTGAGTGGCCACCCCGTCAGTACCTATCACCTCAGTCCAGTTGGTTTTCATCATGGCACTTACCATATTCTAACTTACGTTTGTTATCTTTTCCGGCCTTCTTTCCACATGCAGATGTTCTAGAGTGTAAGATCTAGAAGAGTAGGGTCCATTTACATCTTTTTAAAATTTTAAGAAAAATGTAATTTATTGGGGTGAAATTGGTTAATAAAATTATAGGTTCGAAATGTACAATGCTGTAATACATCACCTGTATATTGTATTGTTCAACACTCTGAAAGTTAAGTCTCCTTCCGTCACTATTTATCCCCCCTTTGCCCTCTTCCACCTGCTCCCACCCCCAGGCCTATTTACATCTTGTTGAATGCTGCATCCTCAGTTCTTAGAATCCTACCTGGCCCAGAGTAGGTGCTCAATAAATATTTATTAAGTGAATAAGCTGATAAGTATAGAGCTCGGACTATAGTAAATGAGACATTTAATTAGGAACAGAGTAGCTAAATACTGATACTTCTATCTGCTGGATGGGTGTGCTATCTCACTGACTGGCTTGGTCACCAGCTGGGCCTTGCCTCAGTGGAGGTGTTATCTTCCCGCTCTTGCACAACCCCTGGGCTGTTCCTTTGCTTCCTTCCTTGTGCTGTTCAGTTGGATACTATAAACTGGCTGAATCAGACTTTGGTCACTTATTAACCATAGTGACTCGAAGCCAAGTTTTTATCTTTTAATGCCTCCTACCCAACAGCTGCAGTAGGGCTGTGCCTGCTCAGTGTGTTCCAAACTGAAGTTGAATTAGTAGATACTCTGCGGAGCGTCAAGCTCTATGAGAGCATAATAAGGGAGACCCTTGGTTTATTAGGTGCCAAGTTTCCCGTGACTCGAAAGTGGTGTTACCCTTTATCTGTAGGCCAGGAGAAGGAAAGCACCCATTGGTGGTCTTGCCTGCATTCGCTGGTGTTATTTCATAAATGATAATTTTAAAAATTGTCATATTCCTGTTATATTTATCATGTTTTTCGCCTCTAGAGAATTTTCCCTCACTAACATTGGTTTAGAGTTTGTTATTTTTATTTCTAAAATTTAGGAGGAAAATTGTTCTTTGTCCCTTACAAAGGCTTTGAACGTAGTGGTCCCTGTAGTGGATCTGGCAGCCATCTCTGCACATTCGGATGTGCTGCATGGACTGCCAGCCTTTGTGGGTGAGTCTTCAGCTTAGTCATACAGTCCTCTGCTGCGAGATAACAGCAGCCACTGCCACACCTACAGTGGCAGGCGAGGCAGGCTTAGTAACGCACGCTCCCTCCGGGGGCCCTCACCGCTGCTGGCTGTGCAGGCTTGTTCTCAGCTCATTTGCCATGTGCCCAGGTGGCATCAGACCCTGGCAATGGTGTAGCCTATTTGTATTACTTCCTAGTAAAGGAACTGTTCTATAGCAAGGTGAAAACAGAGAGAATGTAATTTTGCTTATGTTCTTCGACTTTGTATTTTCTGCCAAATTCTGCCTCGTTTTTTTGTTTGTTTGTTTGTTTTTTAGTTCTCTGCTCCCTGCTAACAAA